AGGGACCAAGCCCTTCTCCAGGAGCCACCAACGTCACCCAATGTTGCCCCAGGGGAGCAGCAATGCTCCCCATCAGGGTGGGGGCATTCGTCCTGCCCTGCTCCCACAGCAGTCACCCCCGGCATTGCCAGCTGTGTCCCAGACTGTCTGTGTGTATAAACTGGCTGTCCCCATGGCCAAGGTGCTGTCTCCATGCACACACCAGCTGTGCCCACCACACACCAGCCATCTCCGTGCCCAGCCATCTCTGTGCACACACATTAGCCGTCCCTGTGCAGACACAGTTGTCCCCATGCAGACACCAGCTGTCCTTGTGCACTTCCCTGCCATCTCTATGCCACCGTCACCTTGCAAACCCCCACCGTCCCCTGCACATGTGCTGCTGGCCCACACACATGCTACCATCCTCGCACACATGCTGCTTCCCCATGGCCCTTGTGGGTTTAGGGGGTGAGCCCTTCCCCATGGCCATGTCCAAAATCTCCCTCACTCCCAGAGGTCCTGCTCCCAGACACCTGCCAGTCATTCACACCCACATCCAGCTCCGCTCACTCCCACACGGCCCATCCCAGGAGTGCCACCACTGCTCACTGTCCCCAGACCCTCACTGCTAGGACTGTGCCACTGGCTGCCTCTGTGGTCCTGAGTGGCCACATATGCCCAAAGAGGTGGTTTCCCTGTGCTGGCCACAGCAAGGTCAAATTTAGCATGGCTGCACGGTGAGCACCCACATTCACTGCCCTGCATGAGGGGTGTCACTCTCTGCTCTCGTCTTGAGGTCCACATGTCACTGGCCAGGACCCCCAGACCCCACCATGTCCCTGGCAGCCTCTTGGAATTAATGATAAGTGCTGATGCTGAGACGCCCTTGCCCTGGAGAAGGCCACCTTGAAGGCCCTGAGATGAAAGAGAGCGCAGGGTGTTATTACTGTGGGTGACACAGAGCTGGGGAATGGCACCCGTCATCTCCTCTGGCTGCTGCAAAATGCTGCCCGGGGAGCGTGGGGGGGACACGGCACCACCAGGGCATGAGGAGGGGGACACAGAATCCATGTGCCCCCAGAGCGGGGCAGGGACTGAGCTGCCACCTTGAAGCCATCCAAGGTGTCACCATCTGGGGAGGTCCCTGTCCCCCCTGTCCCCTGATGGGATGAACGGTGACTTGCACGTCCCAGGCTCAGTGGCCTCCCAGTGACATCATGTGCTGTTTTTCTTGGCATGACTTGTGCTTTTAAAGCCGTGACAAGGGATAACCCGTCTTAATGTCACTAATTTGAGCCTGGTAGAGAACACAGCTGGTCCTTCGGCTTTGGGTTTTCAAGCCCCAGATGATACTTGAGCACTGCCATGGATGGTGGCAGCTCTGGTGCACCCCGTCCCATCACCCACCAGCTGCCTGGTGCCGCTTCTCTTGGGAAAGCTGAGGAGCTGGATGGGAGCTCTGCTTTGGGTGGCTGCTGAGCCCGGAGCTGGTGACACCAGGAGGGATTTAATGGCTTATCCTGAGCGGTCTTGGCCTCCACCGCTCACGCATCTGTGCAGCGCCATGGGGCTGTTCACTCTCCCCTTGCCCCTCGCTGCAAGCCCGAGCTTTGTGCTGGATCCCACAGAGGGAAGGTGAGGCACAGGGAGCCCAGCTTTCCTGGCTGGGGCAGATTCCTGCAGCAACAGAGGCAGCAGCTCTTTCATCCCCAGGGATTGGGATAAATGCCTGAGCACACATGGGTGCAGGGACAACATCATCCTGATCAGGGTGTCTCTGTTCTCCCTATCCTTGGTGCCACAACCGCGGCCTCAGCGTTCTTTGGGAAGGAGTGGGGGGAACCAAGGAGGTAGTGGGGGGCAACATATAGGGAAAAGACATTTTTGCCAGGACCCCAGGGAATAGGGGCACACACCAGGGCCCATCCACCCCCCCCAGCCTCCGGGCTTCGTGTGCTTTGGCAATTGCTCAGCCGTGACAGCCCATCCCTGGAGGGATCATTAGTCCTCCCTCATTAAAAGAAGTTACTCACCAAGACACCCAAGAATATCCTGGAAATGCCTGGGTTTGGTGAGTTCTCGCATTAAAGGTATGACTGAAGTCAAGAGGGCGGCTGCATGTGATGTTCGCTG